TGGTTTGAGGGGGTGCTGATAGTGTGGTTCAAACTGGTGCTGTATGTATGGGTGAGTAGATGGTTGTGTGTGTGGTTGTGTGTGTGTTGTGTGTGTGTGGTGTGTTGTGTGTGTGTGTGTGTTGTGTGTGTGTGTAATTTTGTGTGTAATTTTGTGTGGAATTACGTGTGGGTTTATTATGTACTGAAAGGTAGGTGGCATGTGCGTTGTAATGTAAGTCTCAGTGGTCCTTGGCTGCCCACACCTTCTTGTGACCTGACCCCCAACCTCCTGGGACTTACCGGCACTTACTTACAGTGTGTGTGTACTCACCTATTTGTACTCACCTATTTGTGGTTGCAGGGGTCGAGTCCTAGCTCCTGGCCCCGCCTCTTCACCGGTTGCTACTAGGCCCTCTCTCTCCCCGCTCCATGAGCTTTATCAAACCTCGTCTTAAAACTGTGTATGGTTCCTGCCTCCACTACGTCATTTTCTAGGCTATTCCACTGCCTTACAACTCTATGACTGAAGAAATACTTCCTACTATCTCTCTGACTCATTTGTGTCTTCAACTTCCAATTGTGGCCTCTTGTTTCTGTGTCCCCCCTGGAACATCCTGTCTTTGTCCACCTTGTCATTCCACGCAGTATTTTATATGTCATTATCATGTCTCCCCTGACCCTCCTGTCCTCCAGTGTCGTCGGGCCGTTTTCCCTTAATCTTTCTTCATAGGACATTCCCCTTAGCTCTGGAACTAACCTTGTCGAAAAACCTTTGTACTTTCTTAGTTTCTTGACGTGCTTTATCAAGTGCGGGTTCCAAACAGTGCTGCATACTCCATAGGGGCCGGGACATACACAGTGTGGTGTTGTGTGTGTGTGTGTGTGTGTGTGTGTGTGTGTGTGTGTGTGTGTGTGTGTGTGTGTGTGTGTTTTGTGTGTGTGTATGTGTGTGTGTAGGTGTGTGTGTGTGTGTGGGGTGTGTGTGTGTTGTGTGTTTTGTGTGTGTGTTATTTACCATTTTGTCCTAGGCACATGTCGATTAGACACTAGGCCTGTTGTTTTTGCTTGCTTGTTTGTGTGTGTGTGTGTGTGTGTGTGTGTGTGTGTGTGTGTGTGTGTGTGGTGTGGTGTGTGTTGTGTGTGTGTGTGTTGGCGCGCCTGTGTGTGGGCGTGCCTGTGTGTGTGTGTCTGTGTGTGTGTCTGTGTGTGGTCTGTGTGTGTGTCTGTGTGTGTGTCTGTGTGTGTGTGTGTGTGTTTTTCTGTGTGTGTGTTTGTGTGTGTTGTGTGGTACCACCTAATTGTGGTTTGCAGGGTCGAGACTCAGCTCCTGGCCCCCCTCTTCACTGTCGCCTGGGTCTCTCTCTCTCTGCTTCCTTAGTTTTGTCTCCCTTTTTTAAAAACTATGTAGGTTTTCCTCCCTCCTACTTCACTTGCGGGGTATTCCATTTCTGACAATCTATGACTGAAGAAATATTTCCTAACGCCTGTGACTCGTCTGAGTTTTTGTTTCCAGGGGGACCCCTTTGTCCTGTGCCCCTTCCTGGAACATCCTATCTTGTCCACCTTGTCTTTTCCCCCGCGTATCTTGTATGTCGTTATCTGTCCCCTGCCCCTTCTGTCCTCCGGTCGTCGCCCGTTTTCCTTAACCTTTCCCGTACGACTTTCCCCTTGAGCTCGGGGCTACCTTTTTGAAAAACCTTTGTATTTCTCTAACTTTTGACGGCGACCGGGGGTTTGGTTCCAGATGGTGCTGCATACCCCAGTAGGGGCTAACATACACAGTGTACATTTCTTGAATGTTTCCTTATTAAGGTTCGGAACGCTATTGGGTTTTTGCCAGGCGCCCGTTTGTGCAGCGGTTTTTTGGGTTGTTGTGGGGCCTCCGGTGATGTGGGGTGTTATGGTCACCCCAAGGTTTTCTCCCCTGAGTGAGGTTGAGTCTTTTTTCCCCTAGCCTATATTTGTCTGCGGTTTCTTGCCCATCCCCAATCTTCATGACTTTGCTTTTTGGCTGGTTTGAATTCGAGAACCCATTTTTTTCGGCCACATTCCGCCTGCCCGGTCTTTTGCAGCCCTCCCTCACCCCTCGCCCGATTTAATTCTTCTCATCAACTTCACGTCATCTGCGAACGGGGACCTTCAGGTTGGGTGTGTGTGTGTGTGTGTGTACTCACCTTTTTGTACTCACCTATTTGTGGTTGCAAGGGTCGAGTCACAGCTCCTGGCCCCGCCTTTTCGTGTTGTACGGGTCCTCTCTCCCCTTGCCCCATGAGCTTTCATACCCGGCTTTAAAACTATGTGTTTTTCCTGCCTCACCCATCACTTTCTAGGCTTTTCCAGGCCTGACACTCTATGACTAAAGAAATACTTCCTAACACCCCTTTGATTCATCTGAGTCTTCACTTCCAATTGTGACCTTTGTGTCTCTGCCCACTCTGGAACACCCCGTCTTTGTCCACCTCGTCTTTTTTCTGGCGTATTTTATATGTCGTTATCATTTTCCCCCCCTGACCCTCCTGGCCTCCAGGGGTCGTGGGGCCGTTTTCCCTAAACTTTCTTATAGGACAACCCCTTTAGTCTGGGACTGCCTTTTTGCAAACTTTGCACTTTTCTAATTTCTTGGTGCTTGCTAGGTTGGATTCCAAATTTGGTGCTGCTTTATCCAGTATGGGCCGACGTAGGGTGTCAAACTTAAACGAAACCCTTACTGAGGTTCGGAACGCTATCCGTGGTTTGCCAGGCGCCCGTATGCTGCAGCAGTTATCTGATTGATGTGCCCCTAGGAGATATGCTCGGTGTTATACTCACCCCCCAGATATTTTTCCTTGAGTGAGGTTTGCAGTCTTTGGCCTCTAAATATATTGTGTCTGCGGTCTTTTTTTTGCCCTTTCCCCCAATCTTCATGATTTTGCATTTGGCAGGGTTAAATTCAAGGGGCCCGTTGCTGGACCAGGGTTGTAGCCTGTCCAGGTGCTTTGTACCTCTGATCCTCGTCCCATTTGATTCTTTCATTAAATTCACATATTGCAAAAAGGACCTTCTGAGTCTATCCCTTCCGTTATGTCGTTCCGTATAAAGAACAGCACAGGTCCCAGGACTGCCCCCGTGGGAACCCGCTTTCACAGGCGCCACTTGACACCTCGTCGGTACCATGCTCTTTTGCCTCCCTGCGATATTCTCTGATCCCTTGCGTGCTTTCCTGTTTGTGTGCCGGTCCTTAGCTTTTGCGTAAACCCCCTTGTGAGGAAAAATGTGTCGAAGGCCTTTTTGCAGTCCAAAAATACGCATCGATCCACCCCTCTCTCTTTGCTTACTTCTGTCCCTTGTCATAAAACTCTGTAGGTTTGTGACACAGGATTTTTTCCTTTCCCGAAAACCCTGCTGGGTTTTCAATTTTCATTGTTTCTTTCGGGGCCCCCCCACTCTCCTCCTGATGATCTTTTCCCGACCTTTTACTTTAAAGTTTGTAAGGGCTGTAGTTTGGCCCCTGCCCCGTCTCCCTTTTTAAAATTGGGACTACATTTGCCATTTTTTCCCTACCTCAGGGAGTTGCCCCGTTTCAAATGAGTGTTGAAATCTTTGTTTTGGCTCGCACAATATCTCTGCCCTCTTTAAGGACCCATGGGGGATGTTGCTGATCCCCCCCCCTTTTTAGGGTAAGTTCGCCCTAGCAACTTCTTCACCTCCTCCCTTTTTATTGTACCTCTCCCCACTTGCTGGTGGCCCCCCCCGTCTGATTTTTTTGAGTCCTACTGGTTTCCCCCTGTAAAACCTCTTTAAAATTTTTGTTGAGCTCCTGACTACCTCTCGGTCGTTTCTTGTGAAATTCCCCCCACCCTTCTCATCTGATTACCTGGTCCTTGACTGTTTTTTTCCTCCTGTGTGGCTGTACAACAGTTCGGGGCAGTCTTTACTTTTTTATGTTGTCTTTTCAATTGTTCTGACCTCCCCTTTTATTGGCATATTGTTTCTGGCTCTTCGGGTGATTTCTTTTTTTTCCTGAGTTTCGTCTTCTTACCTTTTACATTTTCCCAGGGCACCCAGTTTTTTTCCTCCCCACACCTTTGGGTGAACCAAGGACTCGTTCTGTTTTCCCATTATTTCTGTTTCCCTTGGGAAAAACCTCTCCTGTGCGTGTGTGTGTGTGTGCGTTGTCGTGGTGTGGGGGTGTGTGTGGTGTGTGTGTGGGTGGTGTGTGTGTGTGTGTTGTAATTATTGTCGAATTATTGTGGGTTTATTTTGTGTCTGAAAAGAGGTGGCTTGTGCTTGGGGTGTAATGTGATTTCAGTTGTCCTTGTGTCCACAACCCTTTTTGACCGACTCCCACCCCTTTCAGTGTTTCCCATGCTCGACCCCCTTAAGTGAGTTTAAACGCCTTGTTCAATGGATTCCATTTGCTAAACCCTTATTGAAAACTTGAGTGCCTATTTTTTATGTGCTATGAGAGTTAGACCCTTACATTCAGCTTGGGCGGTTAATTGGAACCTGAAACCCCACACCCAAACAATCACTCATAGGTGTAAAGTAATTGTAGTGCAGCTGTAGCACTGTAGATTGTCCAGCCGATGTGACGTTTCCTGGTGTCTAGATTCCCAGCTGATGTACGTCCTGGCATAGATCCACCCTCTATTTCTTCTCGTTATAATGTACCATATTCACTGTATTTCTTTCCACTGGTACACGATTGTTTCACTTTATTATCTTATCTTGGGTGGAACTTGACAAATCGGCCTTACACACTAGCCTGCCCACTCTGCACCACAACGTTTTTATTTTCTAGATCACTTACAAAATTGTGGCTCTCCCCACACTTATGTGGTTCAGGCAGATTAAAAATCACTTCTAGGATTGTTCACTACCCTGACACACTTAGCAACCCTTGCATGACACAATTAGGTAGCCTCCCTCAAAACACTTATATTCCCGGAACACGGAAGGCGTGACTAGCGCGCTCGCTGTCCCTACTGTGTGTGTGTGTGTGTGTGTGTGTGTGTGTGTGTGTGTGTGTTTTAGCCTCACCTGTTTCCTTGCTGGTTAGTTTAAACCTCTTCTCTATGGTGGAAATGACGGAGACAGAATATGTGAAGAACATTCCCTGGGTCATTCCCACCAGACAATACACCAGCATGTACATCTCTTTGGTCGCGAACCTCTGTCATAAAGGGAACATGAATAAATGAAAAGAGCTTCGGAAAAATAAGCTATATTTACATGATACAACCTCAATCAACAAGTAAAATAAACCGTAAGTGCTGTCTGATATAGAAGGAAACAAACTGGAAAATTTCTGAGTTAAATGCAACTGAGTATACATATATAAAGAAAAAGATAACTGAAGACTTTTAAGGTTTATATGGAGGTTGTCTGCTGAGAAGGGTTAACTACAATATAGATATTCTTCTACTACTACTACTACTACTACTTGGACTGGGAAGTTTGTCAGCATTCAGGTTCTGGTGAAGACTGGTGTCACCTGCAGTGAAATAAAAGAGAAATAAATATTATTGTATATGAGTAAAAGAGCGAAGAGTGAAAATGGCAGGCATTAGCGGGGTACAGGCTGCCATAATTATGTTTATCTTTCTTTTTCAATTCCATGAAGAAAGAAATCAGTCATGGGGGCTGGAAAAGGTGAATGGAGAAAGTAAGGTAAAACAGCGCCCTGGGACAGTAAATAAAAGCCCAACAGTTGCCATCCTACCAGGAAAAAGTAAATATCCACTATCGCCGCAAAGGTAATGGCAACACCGATACCAAACCAAAAAACAGTGGGCACACTGCTCTATTGTAGCATCTTAAGTGGTGTTATCCAGATTAATCCAGGACCTATAAATATTGTGAGAGGCAAAACAGCACAGATAAATGAAGGCGTAATGACGGTCTTTCTAGTAGCTAGGAATGATAACCTTAACTCCACATGTAATAGCATACCATAGGGTCAATGTGAGATAATACAGCCATTATCAATTTAATTCAAATTCAATTCAAATTCAATTCAAAGTTTTTTTAACCTGATTAACAGAGTGTACCACTAGAAAGCCTACATGGTAGCATTTCGGGCAGACTTAGTTTAATTCATATTTTAACATATTACAAATTATGAGGTAAGTTTGTATTATGGCCTAGTTACTAAATACTAGTTTGTTGGTTTAGGCAATGTGAATGCTTTTGTGTTTGGCACAGTACATAGTTTCAGTATTGGAGTACCTGCATAGGATTCATTATTTTAAGATTGAGATTAATATTTCTGTTTATGGTCCAAATGGGTGAGTGAGTGTAAGTGTGAACCACCAGGTGGTATTCGTTGTAGTTAGTTGATGGGTGTATCAGGGAGATAAATGTTTTCTAATGGTAGTTTGAAGGTGATGAATGTTGTTGCAGTTCTAGAGTTCTTCGGTAGGGTGTTCCAGATTTTGGGCCTTTGACATACACTGAATTTTTGTAAAGGTTTAGTCGGGACACGGGGAATGTCGTTAGAGATCGTTTGTGTCTGGTTTTATGCCTGTGGGTTCTGTCACAACTTCAAGAAAGCGTTTTTTTAGGTCAAGGCTTTATTGGAGTTTAAGGGTCCTGTAAGATGTAGATTGCCCACAGTAGTAAGTGTTGGATTACTGACAAGGGAGTAAGGGGCATACACTTGTTACTAAAGTACGCATGAAAAACAGAAAAGGCACCTTATGTTAAAATGTGTAAGGGGTGGATTAATGAGAACCTTCCAAAACTAGGGAGGCCAAGCCCATGAATGGAACTCTTAGGTCACTTGTTTATCTAGGTGGAATATTGCTGACACTAACAGCACCTTTCAAGGCAGGTGAAATTGCATGGACTAGAAAATGTACAGAGAACCTTCACGGCGCCACATTAAACGGAGATAAAACACTCATTACTGGGGGCCTCTATTGCGGTTCCTAAAACCTGTATTCCTGGAATGTAAATGGCGGTGAGAGATACATGATTATATTTACACCTGGAAAAGGAAAAAATCCTTTGAGGGATAGTACCGATAAACTTGCCACACGAAATCACTCACTACGAAAGCAAAAGACTTGGCAGACGATGCAAACATCCCCCAATGAAAACGAAGGGGTGTTCACTAGCACGTAAGGAGACCATACAATAAGTGTCAGGGGACCCGAAGACTGTTCAAATGCTTCCCAGCATACATAAGAGGGATTACCAAACAGACCCCTGGCAGTCTTCAAGATGGCACTGGACAAGCCCTAAAGTCGGTTTTCCTGACCAGCCGGGCTGTGGCTCGTACGTGGTTTGCGTGCTAGCAGCAAGCAACAGCCTTTTTGATCAGGCTCTGATCATCAGGGAGGCCTGGTCACAGACCGGGCCCGGGGGCGTTGACCCGGAAACTCTCTCAGTGTAAACTCCATGTGGGTGCATG